GTTTTACCCTTATAAATAGGGGGGGTCAAAAAAGTTTTAACACAGAAAAAGGAGGGAGGGGTCATAAAAGTTTTTGAACTTAAATACCATGTCTAGAGTTCTGATTTCTATAATCACAAATAGCAAAAAAGAAGACTCTGATAATGCTATTTCCAACGATCTAGAGACTCAAAATTTTAAAAGTTTCCCTGCTCGGCGCCAACCATGGTAGCGCCTCGCGACCGTGGGAGTCGGGCCCACTAAGTTTAACAAACTTTCTACCCCCTGAGTGACCCAGTTGTGGTATTTACATAAACATACCATGCAAGTACACTTAACTCAGTGTCTTAGCCAGGATTTGCAACTTGGGTGTCCAAATTTGAAATTTCGCTTATAACACCCATGGCACCACTTCATGCACCAGTAATTCAATGTGATTATTCCCGAATGCTGGGAGTAATCGGTGACCGCACTTGAGGATCACCCAAAAAAAGTATAATAATATATTCAATTATTCGGACTGTCTATGTCACTACTCACTACACTGACTACAGTAGTACATGCGATTCTGCATGCTAAGCACCCTTTCTGCTTCTGCATTTCCAATCATTACACACAAGCTAAGCAAGTTGCCATATAGTTGAAAACTAGGCGAATCTCTTTTCCTGAAAGGTCAACAAAATTTGCGTAGGTGTCACTAGCGGCGCATGCTTACTCGGATTACAAAATTATATATTACTAGCCGTTTCTACTCAGCGAGCGAAACGCAAATACCTAAATTAACATAATATTTTATTGTAAGGTACTCTACAGCTTTTACCAAGCCGTCCAAAAGGCGTCAGCATGATAGCGAACCGTCCAAAAGCCGTCTTTTTTATAAGGCCGTCCAAATTTGAAAACGGCCGTCCAAAAGACGGCTGGACGGTAGGCTGGCTAAGATCCTGACTTAACTGATCAGATTCGGTCTATCAACGCACAATGTAACGCTGTATATCCAAAAATCTGTTTCAGAAAATGGTCACATTTCAGTTCTAGGGGTGGAAAAATACAAAAAATATTCTGGGGGAGAATACCCCAGACCCCCTACTAGTACATACGATACCATACCAAACTTTTTGTCACCAACAACCATCTGTCATCTCCCCACACTCAATATAGTATGGTCCCTTTTTGTAGATGCCCACCCCCCAGACAAGTTCTTAAAAAAACCCTGTGTTCAAATCATTTCGCTGTAGGAAGACGGGTCATGGGTTAGGGTTATGGTAGGACAAATGTTGCATTGCAAAGTAGTAACACATAATATATATTTTTTAAATGAGGTTACATAGTAACCAAGGTTAATATCATAGGAACCGCGCGCAGTCTGGGTACGACATGTGCCCTCAGGATATCGGATATAGAGAGTGCCAAGCAGACTCTCAGGTCATTAGCTGATTCGTAGCCAACTGCAATGGTTATCCTCAGAGAAGAAGCAATTTTTTTTCCATGACTACAATTGATTTTTAATTTAATTTCCATCGAACTAAGTTCGTTGTGATAAGGTGTAAACGTTCGGTGGTCAGGTCCTGAATGGACAGGTCCACGTGATTCGGACCTGAATCCAAGTAACTCAAATCCGTAGTATAGTGACGTATGTATGGTGACGACAGATATTAATCATATATAGTTGAATCACATTCACCAGGGTAAAACATCATGAGCTAGATTAAACAGATTGTCGTAATATCTAACTTTACCTGCAACGCACACCTGTTTCATTGCTGTTAATTTTTCAATCCACACTGGGGGTGGGGGTCAGAAAAGTTTCTACTTTTATGAGGGGGGAGGCACAAAAAGTTTGCCTTTAGTCTGGAGGGGGCGGGGGAAGTCAAAAAAGTTTTATATCCTTATGTTCCCAGCCCCCGCTAGCCGGCGCCGTTTCCGCAGATGGAAATTTTCCAATTTTTGGAAGGAAATTTGGTTTTGAGCGAGTGGAAGCAGTGGTTCCTGTTCCGTTCGGAAAGTGTGAAAATAGTGAAATGTGAATCAGTGAATGCAATCTTGCTTGAATTGCTTCTTCAAATTAAAAGAAAATTTTGTTGTATAAACGGTGCTTACACGAAGATATCCAAACATGGCTCGTTCATTTGATGGATGGTCTGCACGCCACAACTCACAGCAAGTCGATCTAGCTTTTGTTGTAGATTGTACGGGATCTATGGGTTCATATATCACTCAAGCTCAAAGACATATCATATTTATTGCAGAGAGCGTTACTCGTACAGCTTTCGACGTTCGTCTTGCATTGGTCGAATATCGCGACCATCCTCCTCAAGATACCTCTTATGTCAGTAAATTTAATGATTTTACAAACAGTGTCCCAGAAATGAAAGGTTTGTTGTTTATATATGTTTTCGAAAGCTGGTCATTTCTCTACCATTTTATATGCCCCGGTCCATTTCCGACATTAATTTGCAACACTTTTATTAATTACAAAGCGCTGTTACACAGTGAAATTATCCACGCCACTTTATCTCGGGCATTATTTAGGTCTTGTGAGACAAAATGGATGTAGTTTGTGGGTTTGGTCATGGTAAGACTGAAGCTTTTCAGACAAGGCCAGATGTTAGAAATGGTGGGGGAAGTGGAAACCATTTAGTGGAGGTGCTGTGGTCTGGCTGTGATATGGCCCCATGGAAAATTAGGGCTTAGAGACGTATCCCTATGTCAACTATGCTGACCTATGTATGTGTACTGTACATAATTATGTTTCCAGTGTGTTTATAAATTTATATGACTCACTGTTCCAACCCATCTGACTTTTGCCCTTCATTACCACAAAACTATGTTTCTTGTGAAATATTGCATTAAAATTTAAAAGGGCACTTGCTCTAAGCAAAACATAAAAATTTGTCAAATTTTCACTTTGATATATCATTTAACCTTTCAGACGTGAAGGTGCATGACGTTCCAGGGGAGGGGCAAAAAATCTCCGGAAGGGGAGGTGCAAAACGATCTTAGGGGAGGTGCACACCTCCCCTCAAAATCCGGCCATGCTTTCAGACAGCAAAATGGTTACTGCCATGAACCATTAGATTACAGTTTGACTAACTTACAGGCATTCGGGGTTGGGATGCATTTTAGGGTTTTATTAAGAGATTACGACAACTGGATGACAAGTTCAGCGGATGACTGAGGTCCAGAATCATGGAAAGTTTGCAAAATGTGTCTGTGATATCCAATCTAGCCCTATTTGAATGGGGAGGGGAGAGGTATAAGTGAAATTTGAGTTGGGTACACTAATTAATGCATATTAAAATTAAAATATTTTTCCTAATTTATTTCTGTTCCCAAAATTCTTGGTGGCGTGTGTGTGTGTGTGGGGGAGTGTTTTGCTCGTACCTGAACATAAACATTTTCTGAACATTACTGTGACTGTGTATTTTTGCTATCTTTTGGGTTGACGTACCATTACTCATTTAGTTTTTCCTTAATATTTCTGTAATTTCCCCAAATATATAACTATAATTATTAGTTTTTAATCAGTTTCACTCCAATATCTTAGTTTTTTCCTTCTGAACCAATTCATGTTTTGCAGACTGGGAAAACAATATGCCGACTGGGTTACAATAATTTGCCGACTATCTGATGACTGGGGTGGGGTGTTCCTCATCCCCACACTCTCTAGTGCCGCCCCTGAGAATGCAGCTGAAAATGCCCTGGAATTTATTGCACACTCACTACAAACTTTGCAATCTGGCATGAGGTAGTCAAACCCGAACCATTGTGTTGTTCAAAATGAGGCCCTGTCACAAAAAAATCTGGCTGACATGTGCATGAGATTGTGTTGTAATGGTGGCAAACCCTGTGAAACCCACAACTTTCAGCAGAACATTGTCTGTGTCTGTAGCGAGAATCGGAGCCCCAATTGTACCCAATCTATACCAATTAGCCTAATTCTCACGCCGCCATTTTTGGGCGGCAATTCAGCCGAAGTCTGCGAGATAAATCTTCGATATAATTTTTTTGACAAATGATGGTAGATTTACTTTGTAAATGGTTAGTTTATTTTGAAAAATTGCATTTCACATTGTTTTAATTGTCTGCACAGGTTAACGAGAATTAGATGCCGCCCAAAAATGGCGGATATTCGTCATCGTGAGAAAGGCTAATTAATTAAACCTTGAGGAAGTGAAATCTTTAATAATTTTTAATAAATTACTGTATATATATATGTAAATATGTATAAAATCTTTGGTCAGATTGTATCTCCTATTGTATCCACTTTTGATGTACATGATGTACAGGGCTATTTTGCTCTATGGTATTATTAAAGTACTGTTTATCTGTTTACACAAAAATCTCTTGGTGGGCAACATTACTGTAGGTGGGCATCTTTTTACTGTAAAAAGACAAGGTGTATGGTAAAATGCATTTGGTTAATGAGTCAACTGAAGGTGATTGTGCAGTTGCAGGGCTCAAAAGGCCAGCTCTAAATAGCTAGGCTACACTGTAGGTGTATTACACCCATTTTTAGAATAATTTATACGCGATCGACCGGAAAATAATCTTAGTTCAAATGTCAGTTTTCGAGTCAGGTGAACTGGTAAACATAGCGTAAACAAGACATTTTAAAGTACTGGTATTTTAAGTAATTCCACAATGAGCTAGCTAGATATACAAACTAAAA